AGTCCCTTGATCGATACCGCGGCGCCGCCGTGTCGCGCCGGCTTCCAAGACACAGGCATGTGTTATGCACGTGCGGATATAATTGTTATTGACCGAACCCGTCTTTCGCATCGCATCGTCGTGCACGACCCTTTTTGAGCTCTATACGACACTTATTAATCTCAACATTTGTTGAAGAATTGGTTGGCGCATCAAAGAATTTATCTAGGTATTGAAAATTTGATTTTGCATGTTTTGATTGTAGAGAACCGCCTTGCAATAATTCTTCGGATGAATAATTAAATTAATTATATTATATTAAAAACTATTTATTACAAACTTAAAACTTTATTAAAACTTACTCTATCTTTATGGATATTAAAAAAGACTATAAAACAAAAATAAAATTGTTTAAAAACGTAATTTATTGTTCTAAGATTTGGAATATTTTGAATTACAAAAATTCGTATCTTAAAGTTCAATAAATTAAACCCGAAAAAATTTTGAAATCGCACTATGTGTGGAGGATAATTATGATTGAATTGAAATTGAGTTCTAATTTATTACAATCATATATAGTGCTACGGCGTAATGAGATTTGAGAGCTTTTCCACAATTGCTGTTTACAGTTAAATGAAGCAGGATTAATTTGATTTAAAAATGCGTATTTTTGTGGTTAAAACATCCAAAATCATCATACAATAATTCCTAAAAATTTCTTGCTACTCCTTTAACAACTGTTATTGTATTAATTATTATATTATTGTATTGATGCATGAACCTTTCCCTGTGCCAATAATACTAAATTCCTTGCGATTCAATGATTCAACAAATTCGTCGGTTCCTGAAGAGGTCTGATCATGAGAATCGCTCATCTCAGAATCAGATTTTGGAGTATTTGACACATAATTATTCTTAACTTTCTTCACTGCAATTCCAAGTAATTTTCAAACACAAATATAAACAAACAATAAATTTATATAAAGATCATTCCTTTTTACGATACTAAAACAAAACTGAGCGCGCGTTTTGCGCGCGCCATTTGTTTACTATCCCTGAAACATAACACACACACACGCACGCACGCACAAATACAAATATCATATTAAATATCTCATTATTTTATATATCTCTTACATATATCTCATGTCCTATCTATAAAAAAGGCATGTTAAGTCGATAACTTTCATTTTTCATCTTACTTTTTTCTTTCAAGTATCAGTAAAATTATAAAAAAAATATTATAATACTGCTAACAATATCTTTTGTAATCAACAGATATGTCGAAACATGTTTTTTGCAATGATTAAAAAAAAGAAATTAAAGGAATAAAATAGTGATAGAAGGAAAAAAGAAATGTAAAAGTTTTGAAACGAAGAAAGTTAAATTCATTGGTCTTTTATAAAATATTACATAAGTACATGTCATTTCACCTTCGTGTGTTACATACATAATTGTCAGATGCTGTGTCTAATTAAATTCATTGGTCTTTTATAAATTATTACATAAGTACATGTCGCTTCACCTTCGTGTGTTACATACATAATTGTCAGATGCTGTGTCTAATTATCACAGCGAATAATTAGACACAGCATTTGACAATTACATATGTGTGTAACATATAAAAGTAAAGGGACATGTACCTTTGTAATATTTTATAAAAGACCAATGAATTTAATTAGTGATCAATAAATTTTATTATTAAATCAAATCTCAATATACATAATAACTGTCAAAATATGTAATGACAGCCGCTCAATGAAGTAAGCATAGTGAGATAACCAATCACGGAAAAGCGGCAACAAATAATTTCGAGAAATACGAGTTATCGACTTAACATGTCCTTTTTTAGGTAGGATACATACTTACCTACTTCTACAAGATTGCTCATTTCAGAATCAGATTTTGATATATTTGGCACATTATTATTCTTAACTTTCTTCACTGCAATTAGAAGTAATTATCAAATACAACAATATAAACAAACAATGAATTTATATAAAGATCATTCCTTTTTACGATATACATGTGTACTTACCTACTTCTACAAGTTTTCCTCCATTTTCACTTTCTCTCTCGCTGTCCTTTTGGAATTTGGAAGACAACTTAGTATGTTTATACATATTGGTATTGTTTTCCTTACACAGTTTAAAAGAAGCTACTCCATTTTCTGAAATAATCGTTGTTTTCGCGAAAACATGGACAAAAGTTCTATAATATTTACTATATACGGTGTTTAGACTACCATCCAATCTTTTTTTTTTTTACTAAAGCGCAATATGACTGAAAATAAGTGAAAAAAATTTTGTAATTCATACCTATCCGAAAAATCAATTTATTAGCTTTTCCTAAACAAACCAAAATTGTTTCATCAATTTCTTTTTATCAAAAAAGAATGGTGCGGATCGTCTGAAAACCTTGTAAATTATGAAAAAGATTTGATAAATTGTCTACATAAGCGTTACTGTCTAAATTAAAAAGAAATTCTGTTAATTGATTCCCAAGAATTTTTTGAATGTACGAAATGTCTTTTGCCGTCTATACAGGGTGTCCCAAAATGAACTTTTGTCCTTAAAATGTCATATTCCTGACTCAATTCTGAAAAGATTTTTCCTTAACCAAAATTTTATCCGAAGCTTAGTTTTCAAATTATAACAAGAAATAGCGAATTATGGGCCGCGTATGGAAGGTAGATAGGGGCGCGCAACTTACTGTCGGACGCAGGCGGTACGCAGGGCCCTCGCGACGATCAGCTGACTGCTACACGCGCGCATACACATGACATTTTAAGGACATGCGATTACATTCTCTCTTGCTCACACACAAAACACACACACACACA